AAAATAAATTAATTAATCAATGCAATAAAATCCCCGTGGAAATTAACTCACCCCAATACCAATGGAACTGAGGCTTGGGCCTGGTCTTGAACAAATTACAGGACAAAGTCACGGCTTCCTCAGCATCCACACTAGCATCAGGACTGTCGACTCCATTGTGCAGAATCACGGGACGTCGGGGCTCGGGAACAGCTGCGAAATCAACCGAAATTTCGTCATTTGATTTTATTTTCAAGGCCGTAACATAACATAACAGAGTAATGTTTCAAGACAAGAAAAACGAAAGCTTAAAAAAAAATCCCATGAAGCGATAGTATTAAACATTACAATATTCATTTCATGGTGAATTAATAATCTAACGAGAAACGGAACAATTCGGTTCTTGCTTGTTGAAATCAGCCATGAAATGTGTCATTTCTCTTCAAATTAACATTCAATTCGTGAGTATTGACAGAGAATTAGAGTTCGTCTAGCAAATTTTTTCGCGATTCCGACGAAGTCTTAATTTAAGATTGAGGCCCCGACATACGGACGATTTGACTTGGGCATACGCAAAACTTAAAAAAAATATGTACTGCATCTACCGTATATATAAATGTATAAATATATCGCTGCAGTGACATCCAGGCAATCTCTCGACACTTTTACCTACACATCTAGACAAATGTAAAATTACAATTTTCAAAACTTTCGTCTCTTGAACAAATTCAGCTTTTTATATTCACAGAAGTTGAAAATGAATTTTATTGCGATTTCAGTTTAATTCATGATCCAAAATAGACTAATTAAAAAAAATTCAGAATTATTTCCATAATCTGTGCACAGTACAGGAATACTTTGTCCTTGTTCTCTGCTTTTTAAACTCCTTTTCATGCCAAAAGATCAGACCATTTGTGATATTCTTCGTCACAGTTATTTTCTGTACCTCACAGTTCATAAAATACATTTTATTCCATTTTTTGGGGGACTTCTTCCAAATTTTTGATCAAGAGTAGAACCAAGTAAATGCACTCCCATTGACGTCTAAGGGAAAACGTAATTCGACAGGCTGACGTTCCAACACAGGGACAAGATCAAAGCATCAATTACATCGCTGGGATTTTTTTTTTTGCAATGCAAAGTTTTCAGATTAAATGCACTCCCATTGACGTCTAAGGGAAAACGTAATTCGACAGGCTGACGTTCCAACACAGGGACAAGATCAAAGCATCAATTACATCGCTGGGATTTTTTTTTTTGCAATGCAAAGTTTTCAGAATAATAGTAAAAATCACGCTCAATCGAGAGCGATTAACATTCGACGAAGATACTGTTTCACTAACTTCGTCCGGGGCTCCGTAGGCTCTAACGAAGCTATTAATTAATGCCTACGTCTGTGCGTCATTAATAACTAACCTTTAACTATTTACGACTTCTTAATATAAGTAAGCATGTTAAAAAATCGGCTTCAAAATTAACCCCGTTTGCTTTCTTATAATCATAATAATTTTTTACCTGCGACGACGAAATTAAAGGGTCTGAGCCCCACTTCCTGAATCGGGCCTCGCTCAAAATTCGGCTGGCACTGCCATTTGCCATGATGCTCGGGCTTCACCGATTTGAGAGTGAAGTCGCATCTTCGCTTGGCGTCCACAGAGTCCGGCGTGTACTCAATCAGGTCGTACTCGTCACCCGTGTACGCACCCGGGATCACCAGACCCCCGCCGGGTTTCTGCCACATGCAGTACGACTTGAGGATGTCCTGGTCCACGACACAGTAGAAGGTCACATTTTCCCCGGGTTTCGCCACGGAAGGACTCGCATAGTTCTGCAGCACCACTTGGCCCGAAACTCCTAAATTTTGAAAAAGAGAAAAAGCAAAACGTGTTTAGAATTCGCATGTTGGATGCTAAGTCCGCGTGTCTCCGGCTTCCGTCACTCTACACTAGGTGTCGCATCCATTTTATTACAGTACATCCCACAGCGAATCCGAATTTTTGGTAGGTTGATTCATTTTCAATCCTGGTCTGGATATTTTTTGATGCGATATTTCAAAAGAATACAGCATCAAATATCCTTAGATTGAGCATGATTAACTAAGTCGGATTTTTTGGAAGGTTGAATCGGTCACAATTTCGCTCCGGGAATTTTTTGATGCTTTGGAATTTACAGCCATTTTTTAAAATATTAAGTAAAATATCCTTCGCCTTTTTTATAAACCGGTATTTTCCGGAAAATGCAAAAGAAAATTCAGTTAGGGGCGAAATCAGTTCATTTACTGCCTGATTATTTTTGATCAGATGGTTGATTCAAAGCTTCTATTCTTCTAGACTATCTAGTCTAGAGATTAATAAATGCCATCATCTGCTTCTAATACTAAAATTGAACTAATTTTGCTGCTGTTGAATAGGAGCCGCCTGAAAATTATGCAGTATTAATCTTGGTTCGATTCAAAACTGGGTGCTTTTTCAAGCAACGGGAAAAAAAATATATGATTCTTCAATAAATTTCATTATTTTTCACTTTTCACCCCTGATATTCCAGATTTTAGTACCCATTACAGAGATTTCTTCCGGAATTTGATGCGTGCAATTAGGCTAAATTATATTTCCATGGGTTCGGTTTATTTCTGATGCACAATTAGTAACGTAAAATTCAGCTTTCGTAAAAATCGTCATCCGTGTCTCCTTACGAAAAAACAAATAAATTGGTTCATACAAGCCTTCTTTTGAATGTAGCAAATGCTCTTCCTTTCATTTCACCTCATACACCCACGAACAGCTATTTCAAAGAAGTGAAACAAACCCAACATTCCTAGAGCCGATCAATCAGGGCTCATTTCACTTCGATCAGGGAAAGAAAAAAAAAGGTAGGAAAAAAAAAAAAAACCTTGTTGCCCGGAGGCGAGTGAAAACCTACACCTGAGCAACGGTCGAAATGTTTGCAGGCATCTTTTTTTTTTTTTTTTCTCCTTGGGGGAGGGGAGAACTAATTAAAAATCCCCACACGACACTTTTCTTCATTAATAAAGCAGGAAATTTACCCGTTCCTTTGAAATCTTGAGGGAGAGAAAAAAAAAGGCCAGACGAAAAATATGAGGGATGTTACTGCACCTTGAAATTTTAAATACAGGTGGACTCTCTCTACAACGATTTTCTCTGTATAACGATTTTTTTTTACCCTTGCATTTCGTTGTAGAGAGAGAGAGTGTGTGTTCACCTGCATAATCCTCCAAACTACAGTACAAGGAAATCAATAATAAAGGCATCGATTCTTCTTTGCATTTGATACAAGATTTTCTTACATATTTTAAATTTTGCTGGAAAAAAATTCACGTTTCGCAGAAGAACTTGATTTCCACACATTGCTGAAGTGAATTTTCAAGTAATATTTTTTACGATCACGGTAGGAAAAATTCTGAACAAAAATCCAGAATTTGCCGAATGTCCGTCAAAATAATTTGCATCGCCATATTTCCAGCAGGTAATCTACAAAAACTTATGAACGAACCCTCGCACGTTAAAAAAAAAGAGGGATAAACGACGAGTTTAATGGATTCTCGCCAAATGAAAACCACCTGCTGATAATCGAACCAAAGTCCGGAAGTTCTGGTCAGGGTTGATAGATGTGATTTTTCATCATCTGTCGCCCATTAAAATGAACCAGCGTTTTATTTTAACACGCCAGACCCTCCGTACGAGTCAGCAGCACTTTTTTAAATTCGTGATTGATGTTGTTATCATGACCAGGTCGCACATTTGCATCTGTAATGAGGCACTTTTTCGGGAAAATCGTAACTTGAAAAAAATAAAACCTGGGGTTGGTATTTCGAAAATGAAGGGATATTACCAGTTCGTGATTCGAAGCATTCACCACCAAAATGATTTTCAAAATTAGGCATCGAACATAATCGAAATTTCAACTCCTAAAAGGAATTTGATCGAAGTTCATGCCTGCCTTTTTCCATTTGCATTTAAATTCTATGGGATAATCAAAAAGTTGTTGCACTTTGAAAAAAAAACTATCATAAATCTAACACGCAGTAATTCAAATGTTGATTTAAAAAAATCAGCAATACGAAGTTTTTCAAGGGTGAATACGCTAAAAAACATTTCGCGGATCAGAAAAAATTCAATTGTCTTCATCAAATATAATTCAGGACGAATTGTGACAACTGCACAAATATAAATCCTTCATTCTGATTGACTAGGGGTGGGGGTATATTATGTGGATTTAATAAAATTCTTCCTTCACACCAATTTTCTTCATAATTTATTTCGAAAAAAACCCCTAGAAATGAAAGACATTGTCATATTCACGTGAAAATAATATTCACAAGAGAGAATCGCAGAAACAGACGGAAAATGGCATGAATCAGCGCAAACTCAACTACCAGCGACATCTACCAAAAATAAAATCGAAGGATCAGACTTCGAAAAACTGGATTTCAATTGTTCAATTCTACAGTAACTTTCAAGACAAAACGTAATTTATTGAACAATCCACGGAAAGTCCCTCGACACAGAAAAGTCTTGAACTTTACAAAAAATGGAATGATCCGTCAGACGTAAATTTTTTCTGCCATTGACATCAGTTCAGAATAAATTAAATTATTCTCAGTGAAGGACGAAGTAGAGGGGAAAAAATCACGTGGATTTTCAGAACTTCTTCCGCGACAATTCAATCCTTGAACACCCCGCAAATTCGCAAGAAAATCATGCAACGGTTTTTATTCCTCCATCTGTGAAGGAACAAAGGAACCTTGAATGCGATCGTCATGCATTCAAAAAAATTGAATAATCCGTCGAGCGAATGTCACATACAAGGCGAAGAAAAATTTCGTCGCAGGTCACGCGGAAACGGAACAACGAAAAGAAGAACATGCGCTTTCAACCGCAAACTTACATGACCTTTCACAACGTCCACATTTCTTACATAAAGAATTTCTTTTCTCAAGGATCTGATGTTCATCCGGACAGAAATTCACGCTCAAGGGCGTTACTTTCATCAAACGCATACGAAAAATCGCATCTAATTTTTTACAGGAGGGGGAGCAGAAATTCAAGGTAAAATTCATTTCACCCCAGGGGCAACGTTATAAAAAAATTAGTTTCTAGCATGTTTCCAATAAGCCAGTCGGTCACCAGTTGAAAGTACAGTGCCATAAGATAGGTTAAAAATTGTACCAATACTCTCACGTTTATTGGGTACGAAAGTTACAAAATCAAAATCCTTCAAAATAAATGAGTGATCAAAACCGAGACTACAAGAAAGTCTCTGCCCATTAATTAAATAAATTTCGATTCAAGTTTAGACTAAAAAAACGTCTGGAACACCATCTGACAAATTTTCACGTAAGGAACCCACAGCAAAAAGAAAAAATATGTACAAGATCAAAGCACGGATTTTCATTACAAAATTGATTAGACTCGTGGAAAATAGTCACTCGAAAGATCTTCAAATTTTCTGGAACATTTGAAAATATGGAACATCCACGTTTGTTTCTTTTCTTTGCAGTGAGCAGATATCGGATTCTCTACATTTCAAAATGTCAAAAAATAAAATTGTGGCGAGAAATTATTGGAATAATAATGTTTCACACATCTCATTTCCTAAATTTAAAAAAAATTGCAGCGAGTAATTAATGAAATACTTCTAAGCAACAAAGGTATGTGTCGATTTTCATCCATTCGACAATATTAAAAAAAAAAGCACAGGACTGACAAAACTTATGAACTAACCTTTCCACCACAAGAAACTAAGCATCCGAAAAAAATACTGTACTCTGAAAGTAAATGTATTTTTTTTAAGTCTTCAGGACAAAAAATGAAACTGATGCATCATTGACACATTTTGTGGTTTTTCTCCCGCGTCTCACTTTCAACAAGACATTTTGTCAAAACAGCAAGAGAAATTTAGAGCGACCACAAGCTGGGTTTCCCTCTTCTTCCACGTCATCATCCACAGCATGGTTTGACTCGCTTTCGAAAGTCCCACAAGCAAACGAAGCCACAAAAAGGAAAACTTTTTTTTTTTTTTTACGAGCAATACTTTTTTTCGTTTACAACTTTCTTCGCGGATTAAATCTAGACCTCGCGAAAAAACAGGTTTCTACGCATTAACAACAGACTGAGCCAATTTTCCTCAAGATTCCTTCCCGCATTTTTTTTTCTCACTACTTCTGTGGACGATGAATAAAATACAAACAGAAAGTCTCGTCACTGTCGAGCTCAGCTCACGTCACCCGCAGCGTTTGTTTCCAGCCAAGTGTCGAGCTTATCACTCAGCCCGTCACTGGGCAAAAAACCCATCAATCCTCTTTATTTTTCCCCAGTAAATGGGAAATTTGGTGCGGGTTCCAAAATTGCACCTGGGACTCGGACGGGTACGGAAAGGGAACCCAGACATTCATACACTTGAAATTGTTTGGGGAAAAAAAGAGTTGAATTTTTCAGGAAAATTGCTTTTTGAGTGAATTATCGTGAAAAGAAAAATTCGATAGCATGACATTTCACGGACCAATTGGCAAACACACTTTTGAAAATTCTAAATTATTCCTCAGTTATACTTCGAACCACAACAAATCTTTACCTCAATATACACTGAAAAAAAAAATGGAATAAAAAAACTACTAAAATTATCTGAATTTAACAGGCATTTCCGATGCCAACAAGTTCTTCAGCTTCAAGAGTTATTCAAGATATCGTCCGAAATTGCCTATTATTCAATTCTCCCACTTGTCTGAAATTTTTTTCGAACAAATGCTTAGTTATTTGAAAGAGAAAAAAAATCATCAGCAGAGAAAATTGAAGCTTCGATGCGGAATCAAGACTTTCAGACAGTTTTCAGAAATATATACTCCGAATAGCTGCAAAATCAAAAATTTCCTCGCTCATCAAAAAGTCATTCGCAGAACAAATTAAAGCGGGGAAAATCCCCGAGTTTATCGTCAGTCTGAAGCCATTTTCGACGTCATCAAAGTCTTCGCCTTTAGTATCATTTTCGCCACGATCAATTTCAGTCAATTCGTTCGCAGGAAAAAAAAAAAAAGAGAAAAATTTGCACGAACTCTTCTCGACAATCTGACGCCATTCCCCCGCCATCAGGATTTTTGAGAAGTCAACTATAAATTGCCACTGCTTCGGTTTGTCGTTGGAACTTGAGAAAAAAATAATATTTTGAGAAAGAAAAATCGTGGGAGCAAGAAAACCGTTCCGTTCGCATGCAAGCCACTCGAGCAGAAACCTCAGAACAGAAACGCTTGGGAACGCGTCCGAAAATCAGAACCAGATGCCGCATCGCATTCGTAAAAACCTTGCAGGAAGAAAACAAACAAACCGAAAATATCATAACTGAAAAGGTGCCATAAATAAATCACTTGGAAAAAATCGACACAGAAACGAACGGTAGTTCTGCGAAGAAATTGGAAATTCAAGAGAGATGAATTCATATTCAAACGGAGGGAAACTTCCGAGAATTTCAAATCAGCCACGTTAAAATTAATTTATGGGCCGAAAGTCGGGATTAGAGCTCAATTTAAATTTAGTTTCAGGCATGGCTGCGAGATAAAAACGTGAGAGATTTGCTCCGGGTTGAATTCTTCGGTAACTAAAATATTTAAAAATCGGGGGAAAAAAACTGATCATCAACCAGTCGGAGAGCACTTTCATTTCCGGAAAGCCAAATTTTCAACACCTGAAAGTTTCTTTTAATTACTGCGAGTGTTGAAAGTGGGCCAAAATTGTTGGTCTTAAATGGTCGTAAACTCCCCAATAACCACGCTTTTCGCTTGATTTTCTCCTCAGATTTCAACGGTTTTATGTTTCAGTCATCAAAAAATGCAACTAAAATTTCATCAACTGCAGCGATCAACTTGATGAAAGCTTCCAATCCAATTCAAGTGTGATACAGTAATGCTGAGCCTTTAATTAGCTCAATTTTTTTTCTTTATTCGAGTCAGTGAAACACAAGCAAAATAAATTTCACACATGCGGGACGGAAATTTCCCGCCAAAAACTTCTAATTTCAGAACGAACTCCATTTAAACATTACCTGGTTCGAAAGTACACGAAAAACTTTTTTCACAATCTTCCTAGCACAATTTTTTCCCTGATTTGACCATTACTTCCAATTTTCAAAAAAGGTGCCAAAAGAGACCCTTTCTCCACCAACAGAAGTCAACCGCCTTAAAAAAAAAACAATGGGAATGTTCAGCACTTTCAATATCGACGAAATTTTCAAAAGACCTCAACACCAGTTTTTTTCCCCCACCCGAATCAAATCAACGGACTCGATTTCGATCAACACAAACAAAATTAGACTTTTTAATTGCTTTCCTTTACCTCTCACGAATACGAAGTGTTCGAGCTAGAAAATCAGGAACGAACTAACAATCATTTTGCTTTTCTTTGCATGTCCAAAAGGGAAACATTAAAATAACGGCAACTCAATTTTCTTGCCCTTCTTGTCAAACGTCAGCTCCACGCACCTGCGCGTCAGGAAGTCAGGAACCGAGTCGCCCGGAAATTGCGGCTGCTCAAAGAAAGAGAGACTCTTCTTTTTTTTTTTTTGAAAATTCGTGGAAAACCAAGCACGAAACTCAGCCACCAAAAAATATCACTGTGGAGAAAAATAAGAGAAGCGTTCGAGTCGTAATAACTTCGACTCTTTTTCCACACACCTAGAATTCTCGTCACGGTTTCGAAGGACTGAAATCCTGTTGCTTCTCACCGCAAAAAATATCATCTTTCTCATACAGTTGATGAATGCGATGCATAAATTTTCCCGTGAAACCGCAAAATATCAGCGGGAATTAATGCACAAATGTCGCGCCCACTGACGAAAAATTTTTCCAGAATTACAGGCGAAATCTCAAGCAACGGAAAATTTAAGAAACATTTCTCAAAAATTTTCGAATGATTCCACTTGACGAGAGATAATTGGAATTTTACACGGCGGCAATTGATTTACACGTTTCACCTCCCAATTTCAATCTAAAAATTCAGAATCAATTTTTCCCCAGGAGAAATATTCCAATGACGACGATTTATTGAAAAAAAGGGAAAAACAAAAGGCAACAGAGCAAAGTGACTGATGAAAATCACATGAGTAACTAGTCGTTGAAAATGTTCATCCACCACCAAGGAAGGTAAATTGAACGAACCCAGGGTCTGCCAAAATTTTCGCGCAAGGCAGAACGAATTAGATTCATTCACAAGATAAATCGTCGCGTCAAGAAGAAGCAACGAACCTATCCGTGATTTCCTAATCGAAATCACAGAAGCGATGAGAAAGAAGAAAAGGGACCTACGCAAAAAGAAAAGAAAAAAAATCTGCCAAGGAGAACAACAGTCCATGATTCGCACAATTCCGCATCATTAACCCCAGACGCAACACACACGTTCAGGTGGTTACTGCAAAAAAAAAAAAAAGACATGACCCTCGCTGACGAGATGGTTGATGATGCAAAACCGGCGCATCTGCGATGCCCCAGTATTTTTGCGCAAAAAAAAAAATAGCAGGACGCCAAAGGACCGCTTTCCTGCAACAATTGTTTTCACTTCCCGTCACCAGAATATTTATAGTCTCCCCCCTCTCGTGATCATAAATTTTCCTTCCGCAAAAATCCCCCTCTCTCTCATGTGCAATATTAACAAAAGGCGTAGGTGGCAACGAAACAACACCCCAGAAAAATTCCCTTCCTCGTTTCTCTTTTTCCCTTATTTTTTTTGAGTGGCTATAAAACCAAAGTCTTTTGTTTCCGCTTTCATGTACAGTTCGGTACAGGAAACTGGAACCATGTCCGGTTTTCAGAGGGTGTGAATTGAATAGGATATTCCGGACATGTGTCGCACTGGATTATCCCACAATCTCAGCTCATGAATATATCCATCCATCTCATCAAAAATCACTGGTTCTTCGGAAAAAAAGAATAGGTTTTACAAAGACACTCCACATGTTCATGCAAAAATATGTAATGTAAAATAAAACATTCCCATTTGACGTAACTTCTCCGTCCACCACAATGACCAACTCTTCAAGTGCGGGTAGATGTCGCTGGAAGTCAGCATGTATTTTATTTTTTTTGTGTCATTATCCAATGATTCTGAATTTTAAAGCGCCTTCAAGCTACAGTTTCTCCTCCTTCACCCAGTTTTGACCTCGTTTTTCCAACAAGTCATCATGAGATTTAAATTCAACACACAAAGTAAACTAATATTTTCACTGCTTCCGAAATTAAATCAAAACCGTGAGCGTGCATTTCTTTTGTTGGCAAAAAATCTTTGACAAAGCACAGTCTCGATCACAACTTTTCACACCATTCTGGCTAGCACCGTTACACATTAAATTCTTCAAACCCCAGTAAACGATTAACGAGAGTTCAAGCGCACACATTTTCAGAACAAATCTTTTCAATTTCCGCTACGCAAAAAAATCGGTTCGGCTTCACAGAACTCACTCTGAACTGTTCGAGTTGCAGTACAAGAAATAAGGAAAAAAAAAAATCTGTACAGTACCGGAATAATTCATCAGAAGCGTAACTAATGCAATTTCACCTTTCGAAAACCAGGTTAATGGCCAGAGGTTAATGTCTGCTAAGCCACGTAAAATTCTGAAACTACATTTTCCCCCCTTTCTTTCGAACGCTTTTCAAGAATAAAAAGTATCGCAATAAACGCAGTGAAACGTGGAACGCATACATTGAAAGTCGACCCACATTTTCAAACTGAAAGCCGAGATTAAGTTTCTCAACTTCAAATCCCGCATTTCTTTCAACAACATCAACAAAATTAACAACTCTGGACACGGTAATGCTCCTTTTTTGTGAAATAAATCGTATTCCAGGTCCAACGGAAATTGTCCTATAACATTCGCAGCGTCCCAGTTGAAATTACGACATTCCTCATACAATCCGACAAGGCGGGGGGGGGGGGGGAATCCCCGATTCAAAAGATTGCGATGAATTGGGTCAACGTCAGTCAGATAATATAGTAAATCCGCATCAGCTGCTTGAATAATGAACCCAGTCACGGAACAACAACAAAACAAGAAAAATTGCTCCAATCCCTTCCCTTCATCACCCCGCATTCCCGGATTGAAAAATCGCACAAAAGCTGTTTCGCCTAGTCCTATTTTGCAAGAAGTAAAGAGGAAGAGAAAGAGGCTTTCATAATCCATCCTCCCACACATTCCTCCTGGGTCAATTCACTATTTTCCACACGCACACGAAAACAGTACAGGGTGTCCGAAAAACAGTAGTCGCAGTGGAAAAAAATGAGTACAGTACAGTACCATTTCCTTGGAAAATTTT